GAGGTTTCCTCCAGACCAGGCCTGCAACAAATTCCTGGGAGGCCCATTCTTGCCCCTGTGGCTGGGATCCCACGGACACCCCGTGCTTAGTCACAGAGTGTCTGGTCTATATGCTCACGGGCTAGAAAGCCTCTTGCTTATTTTATAACAGCAGTCTTAGGCCAGAATCCCAACTCTGAGTTGGAGCACATCGGCTTTGGCCATTCACCCCAAGAAAACAAACACAGTGGTGAAAAAATAAGAAGTTATTTTAATTCGAGGGGCCAGTTTGAAACGACAGAAATTGAGAATTTCAGCCCATCTTGGAGGCACTGGAGTTGACATTAAGCTAAAACTACGGGAGGAACTGAGATGGGGGAGGAAGAAGTAATATACTTATAAAGCCTTGATCAGACTGTGGCTCGGTTTATGTCAGTTCTAGTTCTGAAAGGTAATCACGGGTACGTCCCTGTCCCCAGTTCCCGAGAAGTGACTGTTTCTGCTGGGGGGAGGGGTGGTCTCTAAATGCATCTCTGCTGTTCCTGAGATCCAGGATGGCTATAGGTTTGGGAGAATAACTGGAGCCTTTGTAGGGATCTGGGGAAGGAAGCAGATAATAAAATATCTTCATCTCTCACCCTTGTGCCTTTGGCTTCCAAAGGTGAAGTGTAGCTGGCTTTGAAAAAGGCTTCTTGAGTGATTAACGGACCTCCTGCAGGACCGCAGGCACCTAATTCAAAGTGTGTGTGGAGGGGGGGATCCTCTATCCTACAGAAGTCCTATGTACTTGATTCAGAGGGCAAAGACACTTGTTGCTAATCCAAATGACCTGAATTTGATCCCTAGGACTCACATGGTAGAAAGAGAGAACCAATTTCTGAATGTTGTCCTCTGACACCCCCCACCCCGCCACACACACACAGCTGGATTCTGTGGCTTTTGAATCCTCATTCTCATCCCCCACTTTCCTGCAAAATACACACACACACACACACACACACACATACACACACACACACACACCTGAATGAATAAAGTTCATTTAAAGAACATATTAGCAATTCTATTCCAATGGCTGCACTCTTTCTGGACACAACAGGGTACAAAACACTTACTCCATCTTTCCTGGTCGTCAGCTGTCTTTCCTAGCCTCGATCACTGGATAGGGAAAAGCTCCCAGTCCCAGGGGGTCCATGTCTCATGTCTCTTCTCACCCAGAGAACTAGCTAGGACTGACCTGAGCCAGGAGCAGCGCTGGCTCCCATCCCTCCTTCCCTACACTGTTCTCTGCTACGAGGTCCAGGGTAATGAGGGCAGTTTCTGCAGCTCTGACTTCTGACTCCAAAGCCATGAGGCCATGCTCGGTGTGGATGGGGAGATCCGTGGGGCTGCTTGCATCACAGTGTTCACAGTGTACTTGTTTGTGTAGGCAAACTGATAATCTCAGCATTGCCGTTGCTACACCAACAGTAGCTGGAAGGACTCTCTGTTGTTTGTTTATTAGGGATAAAATAATCTCTATACCATAGAATTTACCTATTTCAATAAAATAATTTAATGATGTTTAGCTTATTCATTGATTAATTCCCACACCCTCAAAGAACCTCTGCTCCCCTTGGTCATTACCCTATAGCCAGTACCACCTCCAACCTCCTTCTAAGTTTCTGGCAACTTCTAATCTACTTACTGTCTCTACAAAGTGTTCTTTCTGAACATTTTCTATAAACACAATCGTAGGTGGTTCTTTGTACCTGACTTCTTTCACTTATCATTTGGCTTTCAAATCTCATTTATGGGGGGCTGGAGAGATGGCTCAGTAGTTAAGAGCACTGCCTGCCCTTCAAAGGTCCTTAGTTCAGTTCCCAGCAACCACATGGTGGCTCACAACCATCTGTAATGAGGTTTGGTGCCCTCTTCTGGCCTGCAGACATACACACAGACAGAATATTGTATACATAATAAATAAATATTTTTTAAAAATCTCATTTATGTTTTAGCATATGTTCCATTTTTATGGCAAGTAACATTTCATTTTTGTGGACATAGTATTTATGACTATCCTTTATTCAGTGGCTTAAGACTTGTGTTGCTTCCATTTTGGATGCTATGAAATTCATTGACATGTGTGTGTGTGTGTGCGCGCGCACACACATACACAGGTGTATATCTGTTTTCATTTCTGTTGAGTATATACCTATGAGTAATAGGTATATACTGTAGGATCATGGGCAATATTTTTATGGAACAAATAGAGTAGAAGATATTGGTGTAGTGGTTTGAATGAAAACGGCCCCCGTAGGCTCATAGGGAGTGGCTCTATTTGAAAGGTTTAGGGCACGTGGCCTTCTTGGAAGTATGGCCTTGCTGGAGGACATGTATCACTGGAGATGGGTTTGGGGGTTTCAAAAATTCAAACCAGACCCAATGGTTCTCTCTCTCTCTCTCTCTCTCTCTCTCTCTCTCTCTGCTTTCTGCCTGCAGACCCAGATGTACAACTCTCAGCTACTCTCCAGTATCATGTTTGCCTGTGTGCTACCATGCTTCCTGGCATGAGTCCAATGGGCTACACCTATGAACCATAAGCCAGTCCCGATGAAATGATCTGTCTTTTTTTTTTTAATAAGAGTTGCTGTGGTCATGGTGTCTCTTCACAGCAGTAGAACAGTGACTTAGACAGGTGGGAAGATGTGGAGTGTGTTTAGAAATCAGTAGACATTACTGCACCTCTACCCTGTGGCTAAGATCAAATGCAGAGATTGGTAAGAAAGTTGGGTGTGAAGTCGATGCACACTTCTCATCCTGACACTGGAGAGGCTGACATAGGAGGGCTGTGCATCAAGACTGGCTGTCCTGGGCTTGGGTTAGATAATGTCTTCTCCCAGAATCAAAATAAAGCAACAGCAGAGGAGCTGGAATTGGTAAAATGACTTAGATTATGCTAAGCAGAAAGGGGATTAAATCTAAAGAAGGCATTTCAGATAAAATCATGGAATAGTCTGAAGACTTAAGTAAAGGGGTCTGCATGTAAGTGCAATTGTAACAATTGCTGCTCACTGTGACTCTAGCTCTGTACTGATCTATTAAATGATCAGAACAAATTTGCAAAATGAAGTATCATTCTCATCACACAGATGATGAAATTGAACACAGAGTAAATTGCCCAAGGATAAGCTGGTATCTCAGCAAGTTCCAGAACTAGGAGCTCAACCTGGTGATTCGTTTGCCTTTTTCCTCTTATAAAACTGGGTTAAGCTATTGAGATCACATAAATACATAAGACTGTGTCCTGTTGGGTTAGAAAGATGGCTCAGCAGTTTAAAGCAGTTTTTGCACTTGCAAAGGACCAGAGTTTAGTTCCCAGCACCCACATGGTTGCTCACAACCATCTGTAACTCCAGTTTCAGGGGATCTGATGACTCCTGACCTCCTCACCAAGCTCACATATGGTGCACATGCATATATGCAGGCAAAACACTCATACACATAAAATAAAATTAGTACATCTAAAATTTTTAAAGATTGTATCCTGCTTGTGAATATCACTGTGTGTCTTCTGGTGCTCTGCTCTAGACTGGCAGCTTCCAGAACTTTGAGAAATATATTTCTGGGCTAACTCACCTCTAACACAAGTGGCTGGGGCAGCCATGGACAAGCTTTTTGATCTCTCCACATCTCACTTTCCTCCTCTTTACCGTGGATTCAGGGAGTTCCCACCTCCCAGAGTCCCAAGGCGGGCTCAACAAGTTGTCTCTTGTGAATTGGTTTGCATGAACCATTCTGTACCTGCTCTCTATTCTTATTCCACACACTGGCCCTTTGGACTGTTTTGGGTTAAAACACCTGTCTATGGTTCCTGCCCAAATTCCTGGGAGTTTGGCTCAGTGGTAGACTGTCTGCTCAACATGTACAACACCAAGTGTTCAATCTTTAACACCACCAAAGCAAAACAAACTTCCAACTCTGCAGGCAGAAGGATTTCACCAGCATGTTCAGCAAGTGTGGGCACAGGGGTGGGATTCCTTCCTGGCTCTTGTGGGAGGTAGTCCTCTGTAGAGCATGCCTAGTGACCATGCATATAATCTGTATGGTCACTAGGCAGGTCACTAGTTCATATGAAGACACACGAATCTGTGTGTTTGTCTGAAGATGTCGTCAGAATTCCTAGTACTGGTGTCAGTAGGCAGTCAAGAACTGTTTGGGCCACTGGTATGCAATTTCTGCATAGCAGTAGCTAAGGGGAAAGGTAGGTTCCACCCACACCTTTGGCTCATGGCCTGGAGCTGGAGACTAGGTTCCCCTTCCCACAGGCTGGGGTAGAATCCCAAGTGATGGGCAGCACCTTGCTTTCCTGTTCTCTCTTGTGCATCTGCTCTAGGGCTTGTGGTGTGTGTGGAGTCTCCTTCAACCTGGACCCGACCCTCGCTGTTGGGCTATGATCTCATGCTCTTCTAGAGAGGAGTACGCATGTGCTCCTGAAGTCACAAGGTTGTGGGCGGAAGCCAGGAGGGAAGAAGAGCAAGGGATGACACAAGAGGGACCAGCAGATTGTGCTCAACCAATGGCAGCAGTGAATTGAGGTGGTACCAAATTCTCTCTAACGAATGACAAAGCCAGAGTAGACAAAACACCATTAGCAATCTTGTCATGACCAAGAGCAGAGTGGGGGGTCACTGGGATGTTGGCATCTGAGGTATCCCATTACTCTGGCTCAGCTGTCATCTGACTGTATCCTGGTTCCTGGCCTCTCCCACCCTCACCTCAGCCCGGGGTTACCCTTAGGCCAGCCAGCTCTGCTCACCTTACCCCTTATTGGCAGCAGATAAAAGGTCTGTGAGGAAATAGGACCAATCATACACAGTCAGCAGAGCCTTTAAATCTGCAGCTTTGGGAGCAGACACATACACCAAGGGGAAACCCGGACAGCCATCCTGTGTAAAAGGCACAGGGGGGATTTTGTGGCAACACCTAACTTCTTTTTCTGTGCTGTTATTTGGGAGCTGGCTGTACAGGGAAAGAGTGAGTACAGGCAGAAGCCTACCCTGTCCTGCTGTCCCAGACTCCACCACTTGTAGTCCGTGGAAGATTTCCTCAGCATCCAAGAGCCAGCATGCCAGGACACTTGCTGCAAGAAGAGGTAAGATTCCATGCAGTGGATCCTCATGAGTGCGTGCAGGCCCAGACTGAGACAAATTTCTGGTGTGAAGGAGTTGAGAACTCTTGGAGGGACTTGTCCCTCTGCTAAAGCTGTGCCATCTTCCACCGTCTGAGGACGTGAAAGATGATCTGCCAGCTTGATCCTCCATCTTTTTTTTCTTTCTCCTTTTGCATGTATGTTTGTGCTGTGCATGTGTGAGAATGCATGTCTACATGCTCATAGGCACGTGTGTGTATGGGCACTATAACTGCATGTATGTGTGTATGAGTGTAGAGACCCAAGGTTGATTCGGGAAGTCACTGTCGATCTTTTTAAGATTTATTTATTTTCATTTTTTATGTGTATCAGTGTTTTCCTGCATATATGCATGAGTACTATGGACATGCCTGGTACCCATCTAGGCAAGAAGAGGGCACAAGGGGCGCTGGAACTGGAGTCATAGATGGTTACTAGTCTCCATGCGGGTGCAGAGAAGTGGACCTGAGGGCACTGCAGAGCAGAATATGCTTTGATCTGCTCATCTCAATCATTCTTCTGTCTTATCCACCAAGGCGAGTTTTCTCAGTCAAACCAGAGCTCTCTATATGAGCTGTCTTGCTGGCCAGTGTTGCCATGCATTGGAATTGCAGGCTGCCTGCCATGTCCAACGGCCTCCAACATGCGTTTCTTAAGCTTGTCAAAAATAAAAATTATAGCAATTTTGTAGATCTAATTGGAGGAGATTTCTGTTCTTCAAAATATGATGAGGGCTCCTATTAAGCAACTGCAGAACCCTGGGTTTGGCAGGATGGGAGTGAATAAAAAGAAGACAAGACCTTAGAGTGAGTGCCTCTGACACACATTCAGCCTGGCCTTGAGAAAGGCTATGCATTCTAGCCCTGTGTGCTTAGCCTATCAAGATGGTCACGCCCTAAGAGATTCTTGACTAGGAGACTTAGTTTATATGTGTTTCTCAGGTGAGTCACAAGGAACTCAAATGGATGCAGAATTTAAAAAAAGAAAGAAAGAAAGAAAGGAAGGAAGGAAGGAAGGAAGGAAGGAAGGAAGGAAGGAAGGAAGGAA